TCAAGCGATTCTCCTGCCTCAGCCTCCCGAGTAGCTGAGATTACAGGTGCCTGCCACCATGCCCGGCTAATTTCTGTATTTTTAGTAGAGATGGGGTTTCACCATCTTGGCCAGGTTGGTCTTGAACTGCTGACCTCGTAATCCACTCACCTCGGCCTCCCAATGCCTGCTGGGATTACAGGCATCAGCCACCATGCCCGGCTCACAAATTCAATTTTATTATGATGAAGTACAAGGTTCTTTCCAGAATTTTTAAATTTAATTGTATTGTAGATGTTATTTTAAGTTTGTGAATAAGAAGTTAGTAGTTGTAATCTTTATTGTGACTGAGATTTCTGTGTAACATTTGTCAGAATAAGATTGGACCTGTATTTTCAGGAAGAAGCCTGATGGTCTTTGTGACCTGTTTCTTTTTTTTTTTTAGAAATTAATAAAATTTATTTTTAAAACAGTTTTAGGTTCACCACAAAATTGAACACAAAATGCAGAGTTCCCATATAACCTCTGTCCTCACTCACACACAACCTTCTCTCCCTATAAACATCCGAAGCACCACAGTGGTACACTTATTCCAATCAATTAACCTACATGGATACATTATTATCATCCAAATTGCCTAGTTTACATTGAGGTTCACTCTTGGTGTTGGATATTCTATGGATTTTGACCAATGTATAACAACATGTATCCACCATTGTAGTGTCATCCAGAAGATTTCCACTGCCCTAAAAATCCTCTGTGCTCTGCCTATTCCTTCCTCCCTAACCCGCCAAGCCCTGGCAACTACTCATCAAAAGGCAGAGAATTCTTAAAAGTCATTTATTTGAGCCATTACATTGGCTCTAAGATAGAACATATGTATATGTATGTATATGTAATGTATGTGTGTATATGTATGTATATGTAATGTATGTATGTATATGTATGTATATGTAATGGAGCCTTTTGAACTTCTAGTTAAGGCTATGAACTCATTTCCCAGGAAAAAATGTACCCATACTTCAAATTTTATGTACAATTGTGGAGAGGAGCTCATGGGCCTTCTGGGGCTTCCACGGATCTCAAGTCTAGAGCCACTGCTTTTGATGCCTCGACAGGTTCCCTGTAATCTCCCATTTGAGGAGAGTACTGTCTGGTACTCATTACTTGCAGCTCAGGACTGCTGATAGAAAGCTGAACTTTTGGACAGAGAACAAAAGCAAGCTGCGTCTGATCCCAGAGCCAGGAAATCTGGGCTCATTGAGGGCACTTATAGATTTACACAGAGGGTCAGACATGCTGCATGGTCCACAAGGTCCTTTAAATAAATACATTGTAACATCATGCCCAGGTTTACAAAATCAATACAAAGTTAAACTATGTAAAAATGCTGGGTTTCGGGCCTGGCACGGTGACTCACACCTGTAATCCCAGCACTTCGGGAGGCCGAGGCGGGCGGATCACGAGGTCAGGAGATCAAGACCATCCTGGCTAACACAGTGAAACCCCATCTCTACTAAAAATACAAAAAAATTAGCTCGGCATGGTGGCAGGTGCCTCCTGTAATCCCAGCCACTGGGAAGGCTGAGGCAGGAGAATTGCTTGAACCCTAGAGGTGGAGGTTACAGTGAGGCGAGAACACGCCATTGCACTCCAGCCTGGGTAGGAGTGAAACTCTTGTCTCAAAAAAAGAAAAAAAAAAAATTTTTTTTGTAGTTATGTAACTTTTTAAAAAATTGACATGTTGAAATGGTAAAACAAGTAAGAATGAAATTTGCTTTTCAGAAGGTCACACATTTTGCTTATATTCTTAAGTTGGAGAATATAATTACTAGATCTATTAGAAGGGAAAACTTTAATATATTTTCAAATATAATTCATTTATCATTGTAATTTTTTCCATTTAGGCAAATACCCTATCTGGATCTTCGCTTAGTCAGGCACCGTCTCTTATGTATGGCAATAGATTAAATCCAAATTCATCAATGGCAGCTCTTATAGCTCAGTCTGAAAACAATCAAACAGGTAAGTTTTCAAGAATTATTAAACTCTAAAACTCTACTCTCACCTACTTTAAGTTTTTTCCCCTTTTGGTTCATTTTATTTGAAAACATGTAGGGATGTGGTTTAATAGAGGATTGTACTTAAAAAAAAAAGATTCACAGTTGGAAAATGTTAAATATTTCAGGTGATGGATATGTTAACTAGCTTGATTTTATTATTCCACATTACATTCATATATCATAACATCAGTTTGTACTCCAAATTTATATAATTACAAATTGTCAATTTACAATAAAAAAAGAATCACAGTTGGAAGTCAATAGTATGCTGTGCTGCAAAATAGCGATGTGCTTTTTTTTTTTTTACTGTCTGAAATGGAAATGTTTCAGCAGAGCCATCAGCAGGCAGGAATGCAGCAGTGTCTCCTGTGACTTTTGTGATTGATGTGTTCAGTTCTCAGTTCTATGCAATGAAAGTAACATAACACTGGGCTTGTCTGTGAATAGCCTAAACCTTTATTTGCATAATTCATGAAATTGTATTACACAAACTTGGTTAAAAAAATCCTGTTAGAGAATTTCTGCAGTGTTTAGTAATCCTGTGAATGTTCACCAGTTGACGTTTTGTCGCATTTGTCTCTTGTACTGTCTTAATGAGCCACTGGATTTGCTTTGTTTCATTCCATCCTTAAGGATTGGTTGACATGTCCAAGTAGTCATGCCTGTTTGGGGGAAGGGAATGGATTTAGCAGTTCACCAAGAATGGATCAGTCTGTCTTTACTCATTAAGGGTCAGAGGTTACCTGACTCAGAATAAGAGGACAACCTTGAAAGAGGCCAGATAAGGTGATTTTTATAAGGAAGTAACTGCAGGGGAAATACAAGTTACTTTCCAAGCAGAGATATTTGATATTACCTAAGGAATATTTTGAAAAGTTAATTTTTTTTCTTTAAAATTCAGGATTCTGTATTCCTGCTTGTTTTTGTCAATTTGGAAATTTAGTGTTGTATGTGATTTTATTCTTGGTGTAAGGCTCTAACACCATAATTTTAGTCTTGGTGTGCAGCTCTATGTAAATGTGTTTTATGGCTTGTCTTGGGATGCAAAGTGTTAAAAAATACAAAGCATACGGAGTTGCTGTGATAAGCATACAGATTAGCTGTCCACAGCTGTGATTCATTACTTTAACCGTAGAAATTAAAAGTGGCTGAGGGGAGGGTACAGCAAATGCAAACCACGCTTCTGTGCTGTAAAATTGAAAAGAATGAAAGAACAGAACATAATCCATGGCCTTCTACACCCACAAAAACGTGTAGGGACAACGCCTTACATGCCACAGTTCAGCAATTCTAAACTAGCAACATGCTAGATCTTCTCCTTTCATGGGAACTGCAAAGATAGTGGTAAAGGTTTAATGTATGTTTTAGGAAAAATCAGGGCAAGAGTTTAAAACCTCTTATCTAGTGAGAGTCACTTTATCAGCTCTGAAATATTTACACTACAGATCAAGATCTTGGAGACAATAGCCGCAACCTAGTTGGCAGAGGAAGCTCACCCCGAGGAAGTCTCTCGCCACGGTAAGCACTATTTACACTGCAAAGTATAGGCAAAGGAAACTGAGATTTGGAAACTTTCTTATCTCATATCAGTAGAGTGTACATTTGTGAGGTTATAAAAGCATTCTACAGATAAGAAGCATGTCTAGACAAGAAAAATGATTCCAAATTAATTTAAATACTAATTTAAACACCATTAGATTTCTAAGTAAAACAAATCCCTTTCCTTTGGTTTCCAGTCAGTTCGAACTCTTATTTATTACTTGTATATTGATTTGAATAATTCTTTTTGATCATAAAATAGTTTCAAGATCTCTTAAAGTTGTAGACCCAAGACTTTCAACTTTGGGTTCGTTTTAGCTCTGTTATAGGTATAGCACTTAATCCCTTAGTCTCCAGTTCCTAATTCAGTAAAGTCCTGTGGTAGATCACTAAATTCCTACTAGGTCTTAAATTGTTTGAATCAGTTATAGCAAATGTATTACAAGTTTTTTGAAATTATTTTATGACAGTATTCAGGTACCATTTATTAAAATATAATTAATATATTTGGGGTTACCGAACTGCATATTCCTTCTGTTCTAAATGGGGAGAATGTTGTATGAGATACTGTGTCTGTTTGTAGGGGAGAATGGAACTTTGGTGATGGCTATCTATTAATTTTATTTCCCTTCTGTGCCTTCTCTTTGTTTTCTCCGTGTTCTCTAATTTAGGAACCCTCCCTCAAACATGGTGTTAGACTGGGTGAGAATGGAGAGTAAGAGAAAAACCCATTCTAGGGTCTTTCTTCTAAGTAAGGGAGAAATGTGATTAAAAATGAAAACTTTGGTCAGGCATGGTGGCTCATGTCTATAATCCCAGCACTTTGGGAGGCCAAGTTGGGAGGATTGCTTGAGGCCAGGAGTTCAAGACCAGCCTGGGCAACATGGCAAGACTCCATGTCTACAAATTTTTTTTTTTCCAAAATGAACTTTTTCATGTGATGACAGATAATGAATAACAGTATTGCTAATATATTTGGGGAATGTCTGTTAAGGAACATCTTATCATAGAGATTAGTTCAGTAACCATTAACTTTATTTTCTAATGGTACATCTCTAGTGGTGCCTTTTTTCCTATATAATTCCTGGGTGAACTAAAAGTAGTGTTATTTTCCCTGATTGAACTCTGCAGAAAATCAAATATTCATTCTTTGGAAACCAGGAATCTGAAGAACACAGTGATAAACTAGTCTGTGATTTTATGTTGTGATTACTTCTATGTTGCTTTTCTTTTCAAAGAAGAAAGTTAATGGATGTTTGCTCAGTGTTTAGTGGAAGAGCACTTCTCCGTCCCCCTTTTAAACTTGAAATACTACAAGCTACCGAGAAATTATTAAAAATCTCTTAGTGCTGTTTTGCTTAGTATAGTGTTTCCTTTTCATTAGTGAAATGGGACTTAACAAATGGTACTAAATTATTTTTAGCATATTATTTCCAACTTTATATTACTCTTTAGAAATCAGCCTGAAATGTAACAGCCTAAATTATTCTGGTATAATGTACTATTTGCAGAGGGATGGCCAATTGTATGTAGCCCATAATGTTTACATATGGAATAAAAACCCCATTTGTTTAACATCTTACGAAAATTTTGTAGAGCAGCATATTAAGGCAGTGTCAAGAATTCTAGTGGGTTGTTAGAAGACCTGAGTTGTGTAGCCCAGCTCTTGTCACCTCACCAGCAGTGTGTCTTTGGACAAGTCACTAAAACTCCATCCTGTTTCCTCATTTGAAAATGGACCAGGCTTCAACTTCTCACTAGGTTGTTGTGGAGATCATATGAGATATATACAAACACATTGGAAATTCTAAAGCTCTTTAAATGTATTATGTTAGCATGGTAGCTGGAGATCAGAAATGGCCACACTTACTAATTTAAAACAAAAAGTGGAGAGAACATTACATGTTCATCTTAATACAAGTACTATTTGTTTTAGAAGGGTTGTTTATCATTTCAAGTATAGATCTAAGACATTTTAGAAATATTCATGTAAAAGGATCGAATAAAAATTGCTTTGGGGGCTGGGCATGGTGGCTCATTCCTATAATCCCAGCAGTTCGGGAGGCCTAGGCGGGAGGAACACTTCAGCCCAGGAGTTGGAGACTAAGCTGGGCAACGTGGTGAAATTCCGTCTCCCCTGCCCAACCTCCCCGCTACCCCCTCCCCCCCCCCAAAAAAAAAAGCTGGGCGTGGTAGCGTGTGATTTTGTGGTCCCAGCTGCTTAGGAGGCTGAGGTGGGAGGATCGCTTGAACCCGGGACCGAGGAGGTCAAGGCTATAGTGAGCCATCACTGCATCACAGCACTCTAGCATGGCTGACAAAGTGAGACTCTATTTCCAGAAATGAAAGAAAAAAAAAATGCTTTGGTCTTATTTCTTAATTGTGAAAATACTTGAAAATGAGTAATTTTTAATTTATAACAAAAGGCTGCTTCAAGATTGTTAAACATTTCTTTTTAGTGATATTTGAGATTTTAGATGGTTGTAAATTCAAATATCTTTCACAATATTATAATTGTTTAGGGTTATTGTGATAGCAAATAAAGCAGAGTGGTGGAACTCTTTTCTCTTCTGGAAAATTATTTTTAAGTCTAATTTTGTCTTTCACCCTTTTGTCTTATGCCATACCAAGTTATTTTACAGCCTATTTCAGAGATTGTTGGTGGTGTGTTTATATTTTCTAGTGGTTTTTAATTATCTATGATGGCTAGCTATTCCCTTGATTCTATAATATTGAGAGGAAGAATGATAATTACTCAATTTTAGGGTAGATTATGGTTTTCTAAATCCAGGAACCTGATACTTCTGGCATAGGCAGCTTGATGTTATAACTCATACAGGAGAAAAGAGATCAGCTTAGGTAAGAAACTGCACTCTCTTAAAAGCATTCCCCTTCTTTTTAACTTGAGAATTGTTTTCAACAGATCCCCTGTAAGCAGCTTACAGATTCGCTATGATCAACCAGGCAACAGCAGTTTGGAAAATCTGCCTCCAGTAGCAGCCAGCATAGAACAGCTTTTGGAGAGGCAGTGGAGTGAAGGACAGCAGTTTTTATTAGAACAGGGTACTCCTAGTGACAGTAAGTATTCATTTTCTTACGTGTAAGTCAAGACGGATGGGCAGATGGACAAACAGGCAGATGGATGCAGAAGTCACTTTTCATCCAGAGTAGTAATGGGATTATGATATACATTTCATATAATACAGTGAGAGAAAGTATAAGGTAGTGGTTTAATAGAAGAGATTCTATAGTGTTACTGCTTATACTTGAATCCTGTCTTTACCTGTTATTAATAGTATAATCTTGGGCATGTTTTTTAAAGTTCTTTAGTCTCCTATTTTTACAATTGGGAATAATAATGCACCCATATCAGAGGGTTATTGTGAGGATTAAATGACATGAAAAATATTAGGACCACTGCCTGGCTCATATATAGCATTGTCTCGGTGCTTGCCATGATTATACATAGTGGTACTTTGTGTCTCCACTGTACTTTGTTCTTACCAGTTTACTAAAATATATGAGCACTGTCTTCTCTTAGCCCAATTGTTTGAAGAAAACTTGCTCACCTCTGGAAGACTTACTTTAAAAAATACATATAGTCGGCTGGGCGCGGTGGCTCACGTCTGTGATCCTAGCACTTTGGGAGGCCGAGATGGGCGGATCACGTCAGGAGATCGAGACCATCTTGGCTAACACGGTGAAACCCCGTCTCTACTAAAAATACAAAAAAAAAATTAGCCAGGCATGGTGGCGGGCGCCTGTAGTCCCAGCTACACGGGAGGCTGAGGCAGGAGAATGGCGTGAACCCAGGGGATGCCGAGATCGCACCACTGCATTCTAGCCTGGGCGACAGAGCGAGACTCCGTCTCTAGAAAAAAACAAACAAAAAAAACATATAGTCAAGTATGGCCGGCTAGCTTCTTCATAATTTGGAGGAAGGCTAATAATTACTGAATTAAATCTATAATTAATATATATTATGCTTATCATCTGTTGGATTATAGAGCATGTACTATATATTTCAGTATCTTCACCATTTTAAGTATTAGGGCCATGGGTGTAAAATGCAGTGTTAAAATAGGTGGTGGTTAGCTGGAGATGTGGCCTTGTCTTAATTTTAGGGAAAAATAGGTGATTTTCGTCATTTTGGAGTATAAACTTTTGCTGCTTCATTTTATTGAAACATTTTGCTTATTGTTGGCTAAGTGCCATAAATTGGTATTTTGTGAATGGTAACCTGACAAAAAATGGTAATTGTGAGGAAATTTCATGCCGGGCTAATCCTTTAAACACGATAGCTGGAGGATAGGTTTAGCTTAGTCTTATTGCATCTCATTTGGGCCCACTAAGATCTCTTTGTGGGATCTTGGAGGGAAGGAATAAAAGCTAAATCCTTGGGAAATGGCCAGATGTGTCTGTACCAGAGGAGTTGTATCTTCTGAAGGCCCTGAGGTCATGTTAAACAAATACAACTTTTTAGTATGTGATGGACACTTCAAAAATCTTAACAGTAACACTCTGTGTTGTTAGTTGGGAGGTCCAAGTTGTGGAAGGAATTGAAGTACCTGAGGTGATGGGGGCCAGACCGAAAGCCAGCCTGTTCACAGGGGATGCGCCTTTCTCCAGGACTGGAGACGTGGCTGGGCGCACACATAGCGCTCCCTGCTGGGTGACCTGCAGAGCAACATGCTGAGCAGCTGGGATTAGGGGCTTCCTGCCAGGAAGTCTGATGGCAGCACTTCATTTAAACGGAACAACAAACAAAAACATGTGCTTGTTATTTTGGTAAAGGGTATTGGTGCGATCCTTAACCATTCTATATATGACTTCAATGAAAAATAGTGACAGGCTCTTGAATTTTTAATAGGCTTTTATTTTGACGAAAATAAAATGTCATCACTTTTCACTGAGAATGGAAAATTACCTGATGCTGGTGTGTGTGTTTTGGTATGTGGCAACAAAGTTTCCAGAAGGTACATCCAGGAACACTTTGCCTTTGTGCTTATAAAAATACATAGATAGGAAATTTAATCCCACATACAAATTTAGGAACAAAACTTAATCATTTAGAAACACTTTACAGAATTTCTACTGTTCTATTGTAACTTACTTCTAAGGTTACTGGCACTGTGTAAAATACTTAGTCTCATGTGTGTACTTGTTATTAAAAACTATCCAAATGTGTGCTAGTTTTAGGAATGCTGAAGTCATTACACCAACTTCAAGTTGAAAACCGAAGATTAGAGGAACAAATTAAAAACTTGACTGCCAAAAAGGAACGGCTTCAGTTATTGAATGCACAGCTTTCAGTGCCTTTTCCAACAATTACAGCAAATCCTAGTCCTTCTCATCAAATACACACATTTTCAGCACAGACTGGTAAGTGTGAAAATATTTATTTTGTATCTAAAGAAAATAGGCTTTCAATGTTATTTGTATTATAAGTGAGTAATAATTGGTCACCAGTTATATGAAGATATAGAAAAGCAATGATAGGTCGTTTTTCAAGGGCATAAAGAATCCTGTTAAGTGATCAACTTGAATTTACTCTAACTTCCTTAGTCCATAATATAATGGTAACATTTACTTAAATGTCTAATGATCTCATTATTGATTTAAAGTGATGGTATTCAATATAGATTTTTTTTTCCTGTTTAAGTCAGTTAGGAATAGCAAGACTTGATATTTAAGTGGTTTTGATATGGTCTTCAGCATAAGCTTTTAAATAAGCCTTTAATCTTACACATAATGTAATTTAATAGGGTAAATAGGTTTCTTTTTGTCTTTTATTATTCCAGCTCCTACTACTGATTCCTTGAACAGCAGTAAGAGCCCTCATATAGGAAACAGCTTTTTACCTGATAATTCTCTTCCTGTATTAAATCAGGTAATTTTTGTGTGGTTATTTTCATCTGTGTGATTTACTTGTAAATAATAGTATATTGTGTCAAATGGTTTTAAATTAAACAGTTTTGCTGTGTTCTTTAAATTTAGTTTCTCTTCTTACGCTAGGACTTAACCTCCAGTGGACAAAGCACCAGCAGCTCATCAGCTCTTTCTACCCCACCTCCTGCTGGGCAGAGTCCGGCTCAACAAGGCTCAGGAGTGAGTGGAGTTCAGCAGGTCAATGGTGTGACAGTGGGGGCACTAGCTAGTGGAATGCAGCCTGTAACTTCCACCATTCCTGCCGTGTCTGCAGTGGGTGGAATAATTGGAGCTTTGCCAGGTAACCAACTGGCAATTAATGGCATTGTAGGAGCTTTAAATGGGGTTATGCAGACTCCTGTCACAATGTCCCAGAACCCTACCCCTCTCACTCACACAACTGTACCACCTAATGCAACACATCCAATGCCAGCTACACTGACTAACAGGTAAGAAACTTATGTTTTGGGTTTTTTAGTGTAACTAACGGAGTACCAGTGTTGTCTATGCCTTAGATTGGGGCTTTCAATGTGCTCCTTTGTAGATATACCTTAAGAAGTCTGCCAAAAATTTTAAGTATATTATACACAGAGTACATTTATTTTTGAAACTTAGATTTAAATGAATTCACTTATAGTGACAGCATTAAATGTTTTGTGCTGAAAATTAGTCGTAATCTGTGATGTCTATTTTTAAATACTAGTTTTTCTTATTTGTATATTGAATTCCTGTATCAAATTCTGAAGAAAGGTAATATAGTGGAGATAACATGAATATTAGTTTCTTAAAATGTATGTAATATTTTTAATATTCTAATCAAAGATTTTGGTATAGGATAAAGGTCATTTATTTATCTGAATTCCCAGGAAGTGAGACTCATTGGTTTCACTGTACTGGAACTGCATTTGAATGCTTGTTCAAAACTAGGGGACTAAAGCTATGTTGTTATTAAACATACTATGTTGTTATTAAACATACTTTTGGGGGAATAAATACTTCTAAATAGATTTGCAGTGGGTACTAGAAAGCTGTTTCCTCTAGCTCTCTTCATTGGTGTTTAGTTTTACCATTGGGACCATTAGAAAAGGATAAGTCAAATCAGTAGTATGTTTGGATTCTTTGTTTCAAATATGTGTTTACTTAGTGTGAGTTAAATTATCTTTGAATAATTAAAGATAAATTATTACATATGCCTGTTAGAAACACATGTAAATTTCTATTCCATAAAATAAGGTAGGGCCTATTTGTTTTATAATAAAAACATTTCTTGACAATGTGAATTCTTGTTTAGCTGTACACATATATATATACACACACACATAATTTGTACATAATTGTTTTCAAAGTGTTTGGATTAAAAATTGTACCTAAGTTATTAAACATCAAATTGAAAAGTTGTCTTTCATGTTTAAACTTCTAAAAATGCGTTAGAGGTGTGTAGTAAAAAGTAAGAATTGTAATCATTTTTCAGTGCCTCAGGACTAGGATTACTTTCTGACCAGCAAAGACAATTACTTATTCATCAACAGCAGTTTCAGCAGTTGTTAAATTCTCAACAGCTCACACCAGTAAGTTCTTTCTTTTGATAATATTTTATTAGGAGCATGTGTTCGAAGCTGTAATATTCAGTGTGGGTATAGATTTCTCCTTGTTAAATAACATTATTGAATGCATAATCCAAAAAGTTTTTCTTGCCATGTGGTATACAGGCTGTGATACCTGCAGTGATGTCACATTCACTCCTGAACTTAAAAGTGACAGGGCACGTGGCATGGTGCTTCCATAGGCTCTGGTAACACAGTGCCGAATGAGATGTGGTGTGTTTTTTCCCGGAGCTTCATTTTGATACAAGAGATGGATGGACACGATGAACGCTTTTTGGTTCTGATAAATGCTGAGGAGAACAAGGAAGTGGAATAAGGGGGGAAGAGCATAGGGAACCGAGGACCATTTTATATAGGATGGCCCTGCCTCTGCAAGGGGTGACTTTTGAGCACAGACTGACCTGAGAGCTCAGGGAGTATGCCATAGAGAGAAAGCATCTTGGAGGTAAAGGGGCAACTGCTGTCAAAGGCCTGGGCATGCTTGTGTGTGGAAGAGGAGGCAGCAGCAGTGTGGTCAGGGTGGGAGAGGTCAGAGCCAAGCAGGGAGTCTCAGATGATTGCAGACAACCTTTCTTGGCTGTGGCAAGAAATTTGGACTTTATCTTGAATACGATGAAAAGCCACTGGCGATTTTTAAAAAAATCTATTACGGAGAATTTCAAGTGTACCAAAAGTAGAGCGGAGAGCACCCCGAAGACCTGTGTAGTCCTCCTTCTCTCACCCGGCACTGACAATCTCAGTTTTGTTTATCTTATTTCATTCTCCATTTTTTTCAGGATTGAGAATTGGAGGGTTTTGAACAGAATAGTGAAATAATGATTTACATTTTGAAGGATTAGTTTTGCTGCTATATGAAGAATAGTCTGTGTGTATTATAGGGTGTGGGGGAGTGAAGACAGGCAAAAGTGGAAACAGGGAGGGAGTGACCCAGGCAGGAGACGTAGGTGTTAAAATAGTATGGGCTATGTATTGAAAACTGCCTGGAATTGTGGTATATATAGTTATATTTTTGAGATGGAGTTTTCCTCTGTCGCCCAGGCTGGAATGCCATGGCACAATCTGGGCTCCCTGCAACCTCCATCTCCTGGGCTCAACTGATTCTCCTGCCTCAGCCTCCTGAGTAGCTGAGACTACAGGCATGTCCCACCATGCCTGGCTATTTTTTTTTTTTTTTTTTTTTTTGTAGACAGGGTTTCACCATGTTGCCCAGGCTGGTCTTGAACTCATGACCTGAAGTGATCTGCCCTTAGCCTTCCAGAGTGCTGGAATTACAGGTGTGAGTCACTGTGCCTAGCCCAGATGTTTTGAAGATAGAACCAACAAGACTTGTTTGCTGGACATACAAGAGAAAGAAGAATTCTGAATGGTTGGATAGTGACTTTTACTGAGATGTGGAAGAGCAGAATCCAGCCAGTTTTGGAGAGAAAAATAGGTGTCATGGACACACTAAGCTTGAAATCCCTTTAGATGTGCAAGTCAAGTGGAGATAAGACAGTTGCATAGTAGGTGTCTGGAGTCCCAGGCAAAGATGCAGTTAGAGATAGAAATCTGGGGTTAGTGCTGCACAGGTGATGAGAGCCATGAGATTTGATGCAGACTCCTAGAGCATGAAGACTGAGTCCTGGACACCCTAGAAAAGAATAAGCCAGTAAAGAAAAGCTATTGAGAAACAGTGGCCAGTGAGCCTAGACAAGGACACTGTGGCATCTTAGGGGCCAGGTGAAGGAAATGTTTCCAGAAAGGGAGGAGTCAACTGTGTAAAATGCTTCTGTGGTAGGGTAAGAAAGAATTGACCAACCGGGCGTGGTGGTGCATACCTGTGATACCAGTTAACTGGGGGGCTGAGGTGGGAGGATCACTGGAGCCCAGGAGGTTGAGGCTGCAGTGAGCTGTAATCATGCCACTGCACCTCAGCCTGGGTGGCAGGAACTGTTTCTTAAAGGTTGTCTAGAGACTTTTTACAGTTTGGGTGTGATAAAAGTAAAAACCTCGTAAATGGTTCAAAAGAAAATGGGAAGGAGAAGAAGTAAAGATAGCATATGGGCACCTTAAGACATGTCACTTTGGAAAGCAGAGGAAGGGGAAGAAGGAGGCGGATGTGGTAGTACCACGGGGCAGTTTTGACTCATTTTGAATGTGACAGCATGTGTGTATGCTGATGGGACATTTCTGGCATAGGAGAGAAGAAAGGTGCTAGCAGAGGAGGAGATGAGAACAGTATTTCACTGCACCAGCAGGGCAGGCAGAACAACTGGAGGTGGGTTTTATGTGGAGGGTTGAAGCAATCCCACTTTCAATGCTTCTGATTTTCTTAATTAGAAGTAAAGGGAGGGGCCGGGCGCGGTGGCTCAAGCCTGTAATCCCAGCACTTTGGGAGGCTGAGGTGGGCGGATCACGAGGTCAGGAGATCGAGACCATCCTGGC